TATTCAGCGGGGGAGACAGCTCAGTAGAATAAGTGCTTGCCTGGCAAGTGCAGGGTGCTGAGTTCAATCTCTGGTACCACCAAAAAAAAAAAAAAAAAGAAAGAAACTATCCATATTAAGATTTAGGGGAAGAACAATACTACACAAAGAAACAGCAACTACAAAGGTTCTATGTCTAGAAACAGAACAGAATAGCTGGGCTATAAGAAAGGGACAGGAGAGAAAGAAGAGTACTGAGAGACAAAGTTGAAGAATCAAGCAGAGACCAGATCATGTACAGCTTAGCAGTGCATAGAAAAAAAGGTATAGCTTTTGGCCTAAGTATGTTCAACTGCGTTCTTTTCTTATTTATTTATTTATTTATTTTTAGCATGGAAGTACCATAATCTACTGTCTGATTTTAGAAAATGAACAGCGGTTAGGTGAAGAATTATTTGTAGAAGGTATGAGAAAAGCAGACGCAAGGAAAATTCCGAGGGTGGAAGGAGTAACCCTCTAGCAAAAGAGAGTAGTTTAATTACAAGAGCAGCAGTAGAGACAGAGCAAAGTGGAATGGATTTAGAATATATTCTGGAGATAGAACAGCAAGGCTTGCCACTGGAATAAATATGGGATGTGGAAAAGTGGGTTGTCGTGGGTAATTTCCAGAACTCCTAGTACCCAGTAGGAGTAGACTGCCTATTGAAGGCAGCCCCAGAAACTGGCTAAGGAGCAGACTGGGGCAGAAGGTGGAAGAGACCTCTTTCGGACGCGTTAAAGTGTGCATGCTGTGATCCTCTGTACGGGGAGCATCTCAACCTCAAGTACCTGCTCTGAGCGACCCAAGGAGATCTCTGCAGCCACGGTGACATTTTCCTGATCCGAACTGATGTTATTACAGTTCACTGAGTGCCACTCTTCCACATACTGGAAAATCAAAGTGTACGTGGTTAACTTAATCTCCTTCCGTGTGGAAAGGCTGACATTTTTTAACGTTTAAGACACAAAGTACCTTCAGGTCACAGAGTGGAGGGTGTGTGCAGTTGAAACAACCACCCTGGCCCCAGAACAGCCCTCACTCGCAAATGCTACCCACTGAGGAGGATACTGAGGACTTCAGGGGAACCTCAGAAAAGCTTCAGGCCCTCCTCAATCCCTTCCTTGGCGGCCAAGCTCACCTGAACCGAATAGCTCCCACACGCACGCTCCTGACTCTGGGTGCACACAGTGTTGGCCTGAAACGAGAGCCACCCCCCATAACTCACTGAAAACTTAAAACTGCCCTCGTCGGCTTCCGTAAGACTCTGCGTACTGCGCATGCGCAAAACGGAAAGCCGGCCCTTCGCGGCCAGGCCGGAGTGCAAAAATCTCGCGGTGTTTGATTTGAACCGCTTGGCGGGTGCCGCCAGGATATGGCGGCGTCACTCCGGCGACCGGAGACCCGGCTCTTCCGGACATATGGGGCTGCTGGTGGCGGAAAACCGCGGCGACGGCGGTCGGGCCGGCCAGCCGCACACTGGTTCCCGCCAAAGAACCAGGAGCATTTGTTCAGTAGCAGCGACGCCAGCAGCGGCCGCTCCCAGTCTGTTGCTTCCGACGATCCTGACGACCCTGACTTCCCAGGTAGCCCTGTCGGCCGACAGCCAAGGCGTCCTGGCGGCAGAGTCTCCAAGACCCGGCCCACGCTGGCCGCAACCCCGAAACACCTGAGGCTGCGACCTCGGCCGCCACAGAAGTGCAGCACCCCTTGCGACCCGCTCCGACCGCCGCCTTTCCCCAGCAGCCGCCCAGATGTCCTCAGCCCGGACCTCGGAGTGTGCAGCCAGCCCAGGGACGGCGACGAGCTGGGCACCAGTGCCTCCCTGTTCAGCGCTCCGGCCTCGACCGACCTCGGGCCGCCCGCGCCAGAAAACAGTATCATCTCCATCGGCTCCTCCACCTGCTCTGATGCAACCTCTGCTGTTATGAGCTGTTCCCCCGTCCCAGCAGCCTCACGGGACCAAGCATCCCTGCCCTACTCCCAGGAAACATTGAGAGAAGGCCGATTCAACAGGATGGTCCGCCGAGCTCGTGCAAGTCTCAGGTCAGCTCTCTTTAGCCTCATGGACCCAGGAAATCCTGAGAATTCTGAGTTTGGAACAGATGGGAAGAATATGAAGGAGTCCTGTGGTGAAAGACAGCTGACAAGAAACAGGCTGAAGAACTTGGATCTGAGAAGTCAAGGTAAGAGAATCACAGAGCAGGGCTCTCTTCAAAAGCTGGGGTATCAACGGGCAATCCGGAAAGATTGTGACGAGGCCATTGGTTGCAAGGGCTTAGTTGCACCAGAGAAAATCAACAGGCCTAAGAGAACTGGGCTAAGCCGTAAGAGAAAACACGATGAAGTGGAAACCTCTCTCTTCCATGACCTCCAGTTTAAAAGGGGCCAAAAGACAGGGAAGGATTCATTCCTCTCTCAGGACCTGACTCCTTCGAAGGCCTGTTCTTGGGTTAAAACTAAGGCCTCCTTTAGTTTCCACAAAAAAAAAGTGGTGACTGATATGTCAGAGATGTGCAGCAGCTATACCATTGCCAGTTCTCTTTCTGAGTCCCTCCTATCAGAAAATGCAAGCCCTTCTGTCATGAACAGAACAAATAGTGCACTGGACCCTTGGCACTCCTCTTCCATGTATTTGCTAAGCCCCTTAAGGAGTCTATGTGTTGCAGACAAAAAGGCTTCTGATGCTGAAAAGGTCTATGGGGAATGCAATCAGGAAGGCCCAATCCCCTTTAGTTACTGCCTTTCCCAGGAAAAACTAGAACATTGTGAGAAGATTGGGGAAGGAGTTTTTGGTGAAGTGTTTCAAACAATTGCTGATAACATACCTGTAGCTCTAAAAATCATTGCTATTGAAGGAGCAGATTTAGTGAATGGATCCCATCAGAAAACCTTTGAGGAAATCTTACCAGAAATTATCATCTCCAAAGAGTTGAGCCTCTTGTCTGGTGAGTCATCCAACCGTACAGAAGGCTTTATTGGACTGAACTCGGTGCATTGTGTTCAAGGTTCTTACCCTCCCTTGCTGCTCAAAGCTTGGGATCACTATCACTCAACTAAAGGTTCTGCAAATGACCGGCCTGACTTTTTTGAGGAAGACCAACTCTTCATTATACTGGAATTTGAGTTTGGTGGGATTGACTTAGAACAAATGAAAACACAGTTGCACTCCATAGCTACTGCAAAGAGCATTCTACACCAGATCACAGCGTCCCTTGCAGTAGCAGAGGCATCACTGCATTTTGAGCACCGAGACTTACACTGGGGGAATGTGCTTCTAAAGAAAACCAATCTCAGAGAGCTCCACTACACCCTCAATGGGAAGACAAGAACGATCCCTACCTGTGGACTACAAGTCAACATCATTGACTACACCCTGTCACGGTTGGAGCGGGATGGGATTGTGGTTTTCTGTGACATTTCTATGGATGAGGACCTATTTACAGGTGAAGGTGATTACCAGTTTGAGATCTACAGGCTCATGAGGAAAGAGAACAACAACTGCTGGTGTGAATATCATCCTTATAATAATGTGCTCTGGCTACATTACCTCACAGACAAGATCCTGAATGACATGACCTTTAAGAAAAAATGTAACACCCCTTCTTTAAAGCAAACAAAGAAAAAGATCCAGTATTTCCATAGGACAGTGCTTAACTTCAGCTCTGCCACTGACCTGCTCTGCCAACATAGTCTATTTCAGTAAGCAAGAAATGTGTCTTAGTGCCCCACAGTCAAGAGGGCACTGGTCTGGAAGCCTCCAGTATTGTTTTCAGATTGCGTCCCTAGACCAGGTTGGAGATAAAATTTCCATTCTTACAGTTCCAGCACTTTTGTTTTCAAATGGAAAAAAAAAAAATGTTTGTTGAAATGATTGAACTAGCCAGGGGGGATAGCTCAGCTGCATAAGCGCCTGCCTGAAATTATTAAACTTGCTGTTAACAAATGTTCTTAAAAAATAAATTACATCTGTGGAGGACTTCTCTAAATCGCTGTGCATTCAGGTTTTGTCTCATCAGCTCCTTCACTGATGTACTATGCACAGCACCAAATTGTTATATGCTTTATATTGTTAATACTTGTCTACATCCTTTTGTTACTCCTAGTTTAGCTATTAGAGGAACTTTAGGCTCAAACAAAAATTAAGCAGGTGAATAAGTTACATATAAGAACAGGTTTTTATAACTTGTAAATCCTCTAATTGTAACCAAGGCCAGCCCTGGCTTTAGTTGTACTGATGCTGTTGCTTGAGGTAACAAGGCTGGCTTTGGAAACTAGATGAAAAGAATGAAGAGTCAACTGAAGACAGAGGTTATAGCAAAGCACAGACAAAGAAAGAAACTAGAGAGGGGAAAAAAAGCAAAAGTAGACTATATGGGTATGAGAAATGTCATGTTTTCAGGCTCACTCACCAGGCATATAGAAGCAGAGCAGCTTTGAAAGAGGAAGTAAGTGTCTCCATGGTTACTAACAACATTTGAATTTGCTTATTTTTCATCAAAAAGAAAAATCTGAGTAGTTGATGTTCCTTCTGGACATGACTGATAATATCTAATGTTTTCTGATGATTAGACTTGTTTTTTTTTTACTCAGCTTCTAAATCTCCAGTTTTTATTTTTACAGTACTAGGGATCAAGCCCAGAACCCTGTTTTAATTTTTGTTTTGAGATAAAGTTTCACTAAGGTGCTAAGTTGTCCAGGCTGGTCTTGAACTCTCATTTCTGCCTCAACCTTCTAGAGTGCTGGGATTACAGGCACACACACCCCGCATGTCCACCCAAAGCTGTAATTTTTATACCTTTGACAATCCATAGTTAATATGAAAAGAGACATGATCGTGATAAAGAATTGTCTCGGGGCCGGGGAGATGGCTCAGTAGAATAAGTGCTTGCCTGGCAAGCACAAGGGCCTGAGTTCAATCCCCAGTTCTACCAAAAAAAAAAAAAAGAATTGTCTGGTACCTGAGTCGTTGTCAGGTTCTTCACTCTTATAACCTGGAAACCTTGTAATTTGATTGGTACACAAATTTGCAACTGGAATTGGACTTCAAATAGATTTTCTCCATGTATCTGCCAAATAAAAGAACAGAAAGTCAAGCTCATGCTTCTTTGCCAGATGTAGTTTTGCATAGACTAAGCACTTACATTGAAAAGGAATTCTTTATGGTCAGAAAGCTGCTGGCTTATGTTCATATACATCACTGATGGTCTGCAATTGAGAGGACATGTGTTAGTATCACGTTATCCTTTTCATATTTGGATGAACTTAAATACTTCTAATTTAGTACATTAAGACAAGGGCACCAGATCCTTAATAGAGGTCAAAGCTGAATGTCTAAATGGAGAGTGGTTATAGGACAGTTAAGATAAGGTGGGATATTTGCACTCCTATCATTGGGCTGGTTCATTTTCTAATTAGCACTCCTCACGGTAGCCTTACTTTTCTCCCTCCTTAACTTCCCAACCCCACAGGCCTTCTCTACCTCTGTGGCATCACATCAGTAGCTTTTTACAGCCAGACTAGTTAGCACTGCTTCTCTGATGACCATTATGGGGCTTCTAGGACCCAATTCTTTCTTTCTTTTTTTTTTTTCTTTTTTTTTTTTTGGTATTAGGGATTGAACTCTTTCGCACTTGCTAGGTAGGCATTTATGCCACTGAGCTACCTCCCTGGCTCTAGAACCCAACTCATGTGCCCTAGTATCAGTGTTGGAGCCTGTATCCTAAGCAACCTCTCGGAGAGGAATATTGCCCACATATACTTGGTTTGCTATTTCCACACAAAAGAGGGACTCCCTGAGGTCCTCTGTGCATGGCAATCATCCAGGTGCAGGCCCCTTGGGGGTACTTACTTGGAAAGAACTGCAGTGAAGGCATGCCGGAATTGAAGGTTATGGGTCTCTCTGGCCAAAGATTTCCCATCAGAACTGGGAATAAAAGGCATGTTCACAGCTGTATATGTAATAGTTAACTTTTGTATCCTGGCTTCCCAGGATGGTGATACGGAGAGGATGTTTGATAAGAAAAGACTCAAGAGATATATAATTAGAGTTTAAATAATCACTAGAATTTGAAATTATCTCATTGCTACTTTCTCAATAAAATTATTAAATAATCACTAGAAGACCACACTTAGAGAAATTGACTTCAAAACATTTCTCAGGCTCAATACTATTGATATTTGGGGACAGATAATTTTTTGTTAAATTGTCCTGTACATTGTCTAGCAGGTCCCTCATCTCTACTAGATGCTAGAGGCACCTTATAAATTATGACAATCAAAGATCCCCAGGAATCAGGTATATGGTGCCACCTATAATTCCAGCACTTGAGAAACTGAGGCAGGAGGTTCTCTGAGTTCAAGGTCAGCATAATTACATAGTGAAACCCTGACTCAACAAAACAAAATGTCTCCAGGCATTGCTTCTGGGAACAGAATTAACCCTGTTTGGGTCTTTATCAAAATCTCTGAACATGGAGATTTTGCAGTTATCCCATTATTAAATAAGCCAGAACCAGGAATCTACTCCAAAATTCATTCCATCCCACCATACCATAGTTTTACTTTGAATAAAAGAATGCTTCAAATATCTTTGATAATATGTCACTATAGGGACAGGGAACTTCTGTGGGCTCACTGAGGTTCTCCTCTCTTGGCAGGAAGAGGGCCATAGCTCTCACGGCATCTGGATGGTGCTGGTGGTCAGGAGTGATTTCAAAGGTCACAGCTTGAGTTTGCTGCAGCTACTTACTTGCTGATGGTCACAGTGATGTCTGCTGTTCTATTTGGAAAGATATTCTCTTCCAGCTGCCAAACTACTGACATGTTTACCTGTTTTAAAGGAGGAAAGATGGTCCCTTGAATCCTCTCTCTACCACTCACAATTACAACTGCTTAGTATTATACATACATAAGAAACAATTTATCCCTCACATTTCCATACTATTACTCCTTTCTTTCATGTGCACTTTGCAATGCAGATGAGAACTGAGCAGGGCAGACAGCACTATTCCCCCTTCCAAACCACCATGGTTTCCTGCAACATAAAGAATTTTGCCTTGGGTAGGGAGATAGCTCAGTGGTCTAAGCACCTGCCTGGCAAGAGCAAGGACCTGAGTTCAATCCCTGGTACCACATGTGCCAGCCCCAGAAGCAGGTGTGCTGGCGCATGCCTGTACTCCCAGCACTGGGGAGGCGAGACAGGAGGATCACTAAG